CCCTCCCCCCCCACCGGGAGCCCTGGAGAGGACGAGCAGCAGCGATCTGCCCGCGGTGGCCGCCATCTCTCCACTGGAAGTCGCCGTTCTCCGGCAGGCAGCGCTGCGGGATTGCTGGAAGGGGGTGGGGAAGGATCCCCGCGCGCGCCAGCCAATCGCGTGGCCCTCCGTGTTCAGGGCGCGGGCACCGCATGTCAATCCCAGGCCAAGCCCGCCTCTGCCTCCGCCCTCGCCCAGCGCCAGGCTGCAGCTATTGCAGAAGAGCGAGAGCGGCTGGTGGTGGGCACGGGGAGGAGGAGGAGTAAGGCTTCCTGGGTAAGGGGCTAGGTGGGCAAGGAACGAGGCAGGCAGGCAGGCAGGCAGGGAAGGGCCGTGTGAGGCGCGCAAGGCTCAGAGATGGGGTGATGGCCTGTGGGGCGGAAGAAAAAGGCAAGGGGAGAAGGGATCAGAGCCCTGGACCTCCCCAATTAAACTTACTCCAAGCCCACTGACCTGGTAGTGAGTCCTCCCACCGAGTTCTGCCTTGGATAGGCATAGGCGATGGTGCCAGTTACATCGCACTGTATTTTTCATTTATATTCATTTATTAATTACTAATGCTTTATGCAGCTTCAGGTGTGAGACTCTAAGCAACACACAGCAGCAGCATACTGCAATAATCAGCAAAAGAAATCGATGTATCAAAAATAAAGGGTAAAATCTGCACTGACAACATTACAGTCAGGAAACCTTGAGGTGATATATCATCAGACAATCAGATTCAACCCAAACTCAGATACCTCCACCCATTCTGCCTTCAGTCTCCAGACGCACACGGAAAAGGCCATGCTTTTAAAGGCTTCCTAAATATTAAAAGGGAGGGATCAGTTTCACATCTCTTCTGGTATTAAGAGGGAGCCTCCCGTGAAATCCTACACTTTAAAAGTGTGTCCCAGTGAAACTGGTGGGATTTCTTGTTGCCCGCCATATTAAGTTGAATTACAAGTGCAGTGGCCCCAGTTGGCATGACCAATAGTAAGGGACGCTAGTGGCCTGTAGCTCAGCTCACAACTAAAAAGCCACAGTTCTGCTTTCCTGCTTTACAGTCAGATGACTTTCTAAGCTAAGGTAAAGCCACTTCAACCCTAGTACAACCCATTTCAGTACAAGGCTATACAAAATGAAGCCCTAATGAGGCAGAGGGACTTATCAGTTCGTTGCCAAAAATATTTTGCTGGGGAAATAGACCTGCCTTTCTTTGGTAAGGTGTATCTTACAACTGGTGATGTCAGATTCCTATGAGAAGATGTACACTTAAGAAAGGTCCTAAATGACTTGATCCCAAAGCTTAGCAGTCAGAAGGTGGAAAACTGAATTGTATCATGGCCCTGCTGAACAACTGATTCCATCCAGCTTTCTCTTAAACTATCCTTAGGCTGCAACTGCTCATCAGTTCTGTCAGCCTGAGATCTGAAGAAGGTTATATTTCAGGACTGTATGCCTGAGGTCGCTTTTTTCTCTTCCCTAAAAAAATTGGTTCAATGTTATGTCCTTCAATAGGGCTACCATACCATGGCTGCAATAATTCTATGCCCACTAGAAGGAAGTAACCAGCTAGGGGAGACACCTCAAAATCTTTGCTCCCATCTAGTGGTCATATGGATTGTTGCAACTCAGAAATGATAACCCTACTTTTGGGTTATAAACCAGCAGGGAGGGACTATCTTTTCTTCATTGCTTACCTTCATTGCAAGCTGCTGCAGAAGTTTCTACATATTTTATTTTGTTGGCTTGGCATATTTTGTTGTTT